GGTGACAGGTGAGAAGGAGTGACAGATTTGGACATCATCTGCATAGAGATAACATCTCATTCTGAAACTCCAGATGATCTCTCCCAGCGGCTTCATATAGATGTTAAACAACATAGGGGACAGAATTGAACCCTGTGGGACTTCACACAACAATTGTTGTGGGGTCGATCAGGTGTCACCCAGTAACACCTTCTGGGTCCGTCCTTCGAGAAAGGACCGGATCCACTGCAAAGCAGTACCCCCAAGTCCCATGTCTACAAGGCATCCCAGAAGGATACCGTGGTCAATGGTATCAAAGGCCACTGAGAGTTCCAGCAGAACCAATAGGGACACACTCCCCTGTCCAGTTCCCGGCGAAGATCATCTACCAAGGCGACCAAGGCTGTCTCAGTCCCATGTCCCAGCCTAAAACCAGACTGTGCTGGATCTAGATAATCGGTGTCTACCAGAAACCCCTGGAGTTGCGAGGCAACCACACGTTCCACGACTTTGCCCTAATAGGGGAGACTGACCGATAGTTGTCTAATTGAGTGGGGTCCAGTGATGGTTTTTTCAACAGCGGTTTTATAATAGCTTGTTTTAATCTCGCTGGAAACTTTCCTTCCTGTAAGGAGGCATTAACCACCACCTTTACCCACTCTGCCAAACCCCCTCTGGCTTCTTTTATCAGCCAGGATGGGCAGGGGTCTAGGATGCATGTGGTAGGTCTCACTTCTCCAAGGATCCTGTCCACGTCCTCAAGCTGAACTAATTGAAATGAATCCAATAAAACTGGACAAGCAGGTGGTCGTGATACATCCTCAGAGACTGCTGTTAACATGGCATCGAAATCAGACCGAATCAGTGCAACTGATCCGAATCGAGCAAATGCTTCACAGCGAGCTACCGAGTCATCATTGTCTTTTTAGTTGCCATATCACACTGTTGATTCATGTTTAGTTTGTGGTGTACCATGACTCCTGGATGCCTTCACATTGACTCTTTTCAAGCAAAGTTTCACTCATCCTATATCTATGCATTACATTTTTTTTCTGGCCTAAGTGTATTATTATACATTTTTCCCTATTGAAATTCATTTTGTTAGTTTTGGGTCCACTCACTAATCTATTAAAGTTGTTTTGATCCAGTCCTTCTCATACAAAAAGAAATGAGCTGAAAGCAATTGCCTTTGCCCAAGCATTAAATAGACTTCAGAATTATAATTATGCAGGTTTATTACATATA